TACTATTCTTAGTGTGGGTTGTTGTTTAATTCAAATCTTTCATAGATTATGTGTTCTTTGGTTGGTTTGAGTTAAGAGATAGAATTCCATAGATAAATGATCGTCTTACTGTGAATTTTCCGCACTCTTTTGAGTTTTACGGGATAGACAAATTATCTTCGTATTTTCTTGTTTGATGGTTGCATTAACAAAATTTGCTTCATCTACGAGATTGCTTTCATCACATGTTTTCAAAATCTAATTTAATTTCATTAAAAATCACATACAAATCATATTTACAAAGTAAACTGTACAAAATTTATCCACGAAAATATGTTATCCAATGTTTGTAGGATCGTGATCCTACGTGGGATCGAAATGGGATCATAGAATCGGATCGTAAACGGGATCGGTAGGATCATAATAGTAGAATCGTAAAATTTTTCAAATTCAATTATATATTTTATATAATTAATTGGTTTAGTAATTAGGTTTTACTCATAAAATTTTTAATATGTAAATAATATAAATGTGTAAATTCAATTTTATAATATGAAATTCTCCATTTCCCTTTTAATAAACAATGTTTAAATTCATCATCTTGATATTTTATAGGAAAATCTAAAGTTTTAGATTTTACATATCTGAAGATTTAGGGTCTCTAGGATTTTATGCCTAGGAAAAATATACTTATATTAATTGATTGTATAAAGGGCAAATCATAAACAACATGTGTAAGTTTTTTTTTTTTTAACCACACGAAAGAAAAGGTAATCAATTACTTCTCTTCTCCTTCTTCTTCGACAGTTTTTCCCAAAAACCGGGTAGGAGAGGTGAAGTCAAAACAGAGCATAGTAGAAGAAAAAAATCATGAATTTCTTTCCACACCCAATCTTCATTTTTTCAGATTTTGTCCCTTACCTATCATCCTTGCTCTAATTTTTCAGAATTTTTGCTATTGTCTTGAGATCGGAAAAATCGACCGATCCCAGCGATCCTGCTCGATTCCGGCGATTTCACTCCGACCCCATAAAGAAAAACGATTCTACACGATGTAGTATCGATTTCCTAAGCCGGATCGTAGGATCGAACGATCTGAGATCGCGAGTTTGCAAACAATGATGTTATCTCTTTTTACGAAAACCGCACAAAATACCAATAGTGTAGACATTGTATACTTGGGCATTAAGAATTAAAAACACAAGAAGGTTTTATTCATTTTAAAGACAACCAAATTGAAGGAAGAAAAAACAAAAGTGAAGCATAAATTAACTAACTATTTACCTTTCACAGTGGAAGAAGGAAGAACCACTTCACGTTGAGAGTGGATCGATTTGGAGGAAAAAGAAAACAGAGAGCCAATGCATTAGGTGTCTCTTGAGCATTGCACCTTATGTATTTAAAGAAAGACTAAACTACAGAAAACGTCCAATACATTTGGGCAAAAAATTATTTTCGTCCCACACATTTGAAAATGTTCATTTTCATCCCATTTTATTCAAAAAAATGCGATTTTCTAATTTCTTACGTCCCAAGTCAATTTTCCGTCCATTTGAGTGTCAAAATGTAGGGTATTTTTGTCTTTTAGTCAAACTTTTGATTTTCCAGCTATTAAGAAATAAAATAATATTTAAAATAATAATAAAATCAATTAAAATATTTTAAATTCAAAAAATTAAAAATCAATAGTAAAATTTTTCATATTTACTAAGTGGGCCCTCAATAAATTAAATTTTTTATTTTTATCTACAGTAAATAGTACATATATTAAAATAAAAAAATTATAATTCACAAAATTCGAAAATTAAAAATTTTGTTTAGTGGAACTTTTTTTTAATTTTGTTGGTTTATTCTTTTTGTCTCACGGGTGGGCGATTTGACGATTTGGAGCTTCTGTTTTTAAAATCATAAGTTATGGGCCAAATTATTATAATAAAATTACAATACAAACAAAATTAAGAAAAAAAAAGAACACACATAAAAATGTCTAAAATAATATCTGAGTCCACAAAAGCTTTACTGCTTCTCCCTTCTGCTTTTCCTTTCTGGCCAAAAGTTAATCTTTTCTCTTGTGCCTTTCGCTTCTAGCTAAATTGGCAACCAAACTTGATCAAGAAGCCACATAAAAAAGCTTTTTCATCAATCAAGAAAGCACTTTACAGAAATAGATGTATTTGGAGGTTACTTAGAGTCCTTTATAGACAGAAAACTACTGCTCAACATCTCTGTTTGTAAAACTTATGAACATTATCAACATCAGCAGCTAAACCAGTAAAACACACTAAATTCAACATCTCAATCCAAACAGCGACCCTGCTAGAAATAAGTACAAGATTTTACAATAAAATCAACCAAGATGCAACACACTGGCAACCACCATCTCCCTGCTTCGGCCAAATTCATCAAATTTGGATACAAACCTTTAATTAACGCTCTTTAGCAACCCAAATTATTTTTAAAAAAATATGGAAAAAGAAAGAACAGAAACCAATTGACAGCCAGCAACACTAGTTTCTTGCGTACCAAAACAGAATCACATTGGTAATAAAATTTAAAAACAGAACCTAACAAATATCGACCAAACCATCAAGCATACAAAAACAGAACTAAATCAACAATAAAATTCACAATCAAATATGAATCCAAATCATATTCAGCCGACAGACCATGAAGAACCATAAATTACACCGGAAACACACATTTTTCCTAAATCAAATTATAGATCTAAACAAGCACTAAAGAGCTACAATTACAGATAAAGAAGAAGGAAAAAATTGACAGCTCATTCGAAAAAAATTCTTCAACAAATGAGCACCCTTCTGGGGAGTGATAGCACCAGAAGGGCGAGAGAATGAAAGAGGAGTGAAATGGGTAAAAATTAGTGGGTGAAAGTAAAGTAGTAATTATTATTAGTATCCTAAAAAAATTTTGAAATTCAATTAACTTTTTAATTTTGAATTTTTTATTATTTTAATATATTTACGGTTTACTGTAGTAAATAATAAAAGAATAAATTTACAGAGGCCACACCAGGTAAAATGATCAAAAAAATTTTATTTTTTATTTTTTTATTTTATTGAATTTAAAAATATTTTTTAATTAATTAATCATTAATTAATTATTATTTTATTTCTTAATTAATGCAAAACTAAAAGGAAGTAGAAAGACAAAAATACCTTGTATTTGATGGGATGGAAAGTTACTTTGGGATGTAAATAGTCAAATAAAAACTTTTTTTGGACGAAATAGGACGAAAATGAGCGTTTTGAAATATATGGGACGAAAATAATTTTTTGACTAAATGTATAGGACGTTGTCTGTGGTTTAGTCTTAAAGAAAAATCAATCCATGAATTGATAACGAAACACTTCATTTCTTTTCAGTTTCACTTAAACTTAAATCATTAAGCCATTCATCACTAAAACCATTAGATTTTATTGTTAAGAATTTGAAGAGGTTGACCATGAACCTCATTTTTTTTCTTTTTCTTTTTTTTTTCTTTTTTTTTTTAAAGGGATCAATAGTGGTTCACCACTTACCCCTATTGCAGTGGCGCCTTAACGTCTTAGGGGGCCTTAAGCAAGTTTCAAAATTTGGGCCTTTTAAACATAAAGAACCTAAATAAAAAAGAAAAAGTTAACCTTTCTCCTTATTCAAATTTTGGACCGACAACTATAAATCCGAAAATTTGTAATAGGCGGAATTAAAAACTCTTTTTATTAGTTTAAATTAAGTTTTATAAAGGCAAGCGTATATGGTGGGGAGAGTTAACTTACCACATCTTCGTACCAAAAATCAAAATCTCAATCTTGATTTTATTTTAGTATATTAAAACATTTATTGGATTACTTAGATTAATTGATTTTTAGTTTTGTAAATAATATTTTTTCAGGTGATAGATTTTTCTTAAATACGTAGATATAATTTTAAGAAATATTAAAAAGTAGGGGCCCCTAATATTTGGGGCCTAAAGCAGGCTCCACCTGCTTTATGGTGAAGCCGCCCCTGCCCTATTGGCCATGAACCTTCTTGATTGGTCATAATTAGAATAATAATCACATGTAAATAATTAATATTAGTTAAAATAATTAAATGTCAATTCATGTTTTCTTCTCTTTATTAATTACTCCAAGAGTATACTACAAAAACCTTGTCAAAACTCACTATTATGTATATAGTAGATGATTCCATATATGGAGATCAATCCACTAATGGACAACCACCCCACCACAAGTCCAACATTATAGATATTTTTATGTACTTCTATTTAAGCTATATTTTTTTATTATAAAAAAAAAAAAAGAACTTTTGGCTTTACAAGCAGGAATAAAGCCTTTTTTTATTATAAAAAAAAAGTCTTTTTTTGGGCTTCACAAGCAGTAATAAAGCCCTCTGTCATTGGGATACTTCCTAAAGCATCGGAAGATTATTATGGATATTTTTTAACATAAAATTACGTAAGGTAATATTTCATTGAAAAATTGTTTTTCGAGTTTCACTTTGCCGAATGATGAAAAATCAAAAATTGTTTTTTTTCCTTTGTTAAAATATGTATATGAAAAATAGAACTCCTTCCATCCTAGAATTATTGTCCAATATGAATTTTTATTTTTAATGCAAATTGAACTAAATGTAAAAAAATATAAACTATTTAATAAGTTTGAGACAGATTAATTTTACAAATGAAATCATGTATCATGGAGTTAGATTTGTTTTCCAAATAGTAATACTTTTTGTATTCTTGCTTGGTGTCAGAAACAAAACATTTACATGTCATGAGATTTTCTTTTAATATTCAAAATTTAAACTATATTATATCACAAATTATGATATATATATATATGTGATATATATTTTATTTTTTTAGATAGTTCGTAAAAATATTTTTGTCTAACCCGCACATCATGCGGGTAACATCTAGTTACTTATAATCACCCCTAATCAAAATAATGATTTAATAGTATTATGAGAAAACAAATAGTCACCAAAATAGTGCTGGAGCTAGACTTCCTAAAAAAATTTTGCTGAATTTTGATGTCTACATTAAAAAATTTTCAAATTATTCAAAGAACTATTCATGTAATAATACTTCTTAATTCATTTACGAATTAAGGTAAACCAAATACAACAAAGCGAAAGACCATTACAGTAACAGAAAATTGCAAAAATTCTGAACACACAACAAAAACAAAACAAGAAGGAAAACAGGTTAAGTAGTGCACACTACTCTAACACCATTAGATTACTTTGGGACTCGTTGTTTGGAGACTCCATTTTTGGTTTCTTTCTCTTGGGACACATATCCACCGATAACCTGAAACAGTAGAAAATGCAAAGTGAAAATCAGTATAAATCATAAAGAAAAATTATCAATAGAAACTTTAACATATTTAGTCACTTCCTTTAAATTGTTGGATTAAACAAATTAATCACTCTCATTTACATATCTCTCGATTTTTTGGTACCATACTTTGACACGTATAGTATAATATAAATTTTCTAGTTATGAAATTGGCAATGCAATGACTGTATTACGTATACGTTGGTATAGTACACGCTAGTTTAATTTTTCGGGAGCCAAGGTTTAAAAGAAAACACAAATTTGTAAATGTGTAAAAGTTGGGTAAAAATTTTATATTCATTAAAAAAAGGGGTAACAAAGATATAAAATATCAAAAAGACAACAAATAGTTGGCTTTAGTTAGTACCCCAAACGCAAGGAAGTGTCTGAATTTCCATCCTTGTCTGATCGGCAATCGCAAATGGTGCTTGTGCTTCCACCCGAATTGTTCTTCCTTCCAAGCTCATGGTACATTATCCTTGATCGATACTCCTCGATCTATTCATTTTCAGGTTTTAAAAAAAATGCATAAATTCGAATTTATTCCCGTATGTCTCGTTAGTTACAAGTTAGACGTTCGTATCAAAAAATGAGTCCCGATTATTGAACGGTATAGTTCAACGAGCAAGACTTTTTTTTTCTTTTTTCTTTTAAGACAGAGGAAGTAAAATAATACAGAAAAAAAAAATACTCGAATCATTTTTCTTTTACTTACCTGTTCCTTAAGGGCTTCATTCTCTAGAGCAACCTTTTGCTCCTGCAATTTGGACTTCTCGAGCATCTCCAACAGAATTTTCTCCTGAAAATAGCAATATAAAACTTCGTAAATTTAAGGCAAAAAAGCGCGCGCGCACACACATGGCATATAATCCAATCGTTAGATATACAAGAAACGGTAAATAAAAGTGTAACAGAAGATTCCAAATTCGTACCTTCTTATCCTTAACAGCCATAATTCCATCGTGCAATTGATGCTCTAAATGCTGCAATTCCTGCAAATCCAGGCCCCCAAGCTCCTTGCCCGTCATTTGACTTTAAAAGAACAGCATAAATCATTATTAGTTACAGTATTCAAATTTATGTTACTGTGAAAAGCGCAATAGGAGCTAGAATTCGATTTTAGAGGAGGCTTAGATGAAATTAAGATATGAAACAAACATATAGACACTGAAAATTATGTATTAAAAGAAAATAGAACTCTTAAGTTATTAAAAAGTACAAATATGTGTAAAAGAGCCACTAAGCGTAACATTATCTTAACGTTCAAAAGTCAGAGTAAGAGAAAGTTACGTGAGATAGTAAGAATGTAAAAAGAATGTTGATGACGGATTAAAAGATTTATAATTTGCGTGACGAGTCAAAATGTTACTACACTATGGATATTTGAGTCATGAATTAAAATGCAATAGCTAGAAGAGACTTGCCGTTGAAAGAGCTGCAACTTGGCAATTTCAGATTTCATTGCATTAATCTGCTGAGGTTTAGGTGGCTGAGGAGGTGATTGAGGTCGTCCTTCTTCATTCTTGGATTGCTAATTACAAACAACCAAACAAAAAAGGGTTTAACGATAATTAAATAAACCTTTTTAGAGCTTAGCTAAAAGGAGAAAATTAATAAGTGGTCAATACATATATATATTATTACATAACTACCTCTTTATCATTCCCATTGGGAACAAGTTTGGCACCCTCAGGATTCGTGCGGTACTTTGAAATGATTTCTTCCATGCTGCATAAATAAAATAGAAAGAAAAACATTTGTAAAGCAAGAATTATCGTAATCTGAATGATTTGTTTTGACTAGGAAAAAATTGATAAAGAAATAATAAATATACGTCAAATACTTTGACTGAGTGATTTAGCGAATAATCTAAAGTCATTAAATAAACTACTATCCATTCGTGTAAAAATAAGTCGACCATACTACAGAATTCTTCTAAAATCTAAACTTAATCAATCCAATTATCTAAGTCCAAAAGATATTTGGGCTCAGTTTTTTGGGTTTTATAGCGGTTCACGTACTGGCCCATATTGATATTAACCATGAAGAATTTATTCCATCATCATAAACTCAGTTAATTACCATTTTAAAATTCATAAAATTAGCAAGTTACTCCCTTCGTCCCATAATTAAATTATTACTTGTTGAATGAAATAAATAAAACAAAATGATTTATATGGAAAAAAATTAAAATTATTGCTTGTATAGACTGATAACTGATTATTTCCGAAGACATCAATAAGTATTTCCGAAGAGAAAAAAAAAAAAAAAAAAAGTGTCGATAGATTGTCATTTTCCTAAGATTTTTAATCGGAAATGTGAGAACTCTTTTCTCCTTTATTCATTTTCGACCAAACACAATGCTTCTTTTGGCAAATAATAATTTTTGAAGCTGAATCCAATTTAAGTCTGCATAACAGCTAGCTTGATATTCTGGACCACTAGGCCTTTTTCTGTAATTAGAAACACAGAATTTGATACATCGATTCGATCTTTAGCACAAAAAATTTAAAAAAAAAAAACAACAACAACAAAAGGTTTTAGCGTTTTCTCCTTGAAAGTAGTAAACCAACTTAAAACGTATCCCTAATTGTTATTCTTGAGACTTATTTTTCACTTGCCATTTTCAGCATACTTATCAACTTGCCACCCTTAAACGAATCTTTCACTTATTTGTATTATGTCAATGAAATTTTGCCTAATACTAAAAAGCCATACATACCCTTAATTATTTTGTAACATGTTTCTTGATTAGACTATGACTCGAATCATCAAGTTTTTTTATTGAATTGAGACGAAGAAAATATTTATTTATAAATTTAATTATTTGTCTAAATCCGTTACTCTGTGCGTACGTGTCAAATATTAACATAACAAATTGAAAGTTTATAATAGTCATTTAAAGATAATATGTACTAGTTAATTTTAATTATTAGTCTAAATTTGTCACGCAGTGCGCGTCAAATATTTACGTAACAAATTTAAAGCTTATAATAATCATTTTAAGAGAATATTTACTAGTAAATTTTAATTATTTGTCTGAATCCGTTACGCCATGCGCACGCGTCAAATATTATCGTAACAAATTTAAAGCTTATAATAATCATTTTAATTCAAAGCTAAAAAATCTAGTAACCATAACTCATGCTCCATATTCACTCCCTAGATGATTAAAAGAAAAGAAAGAACATATTATGTTGAATAATGTCCATAAACGGGTCAAATAGGGCAATCGGGTCCTATCAAGTCTACCTCAATCTGGCCTCTTTTAGCTATCGGGTCATCGTCTCAAACTAATTCGGATCCTTTTGTGTCAAAAAAAAAAAATGTCCCATTTTTCAATGAAGAACAAAAAATAAACAAGAAGAAAAATAGAATAAAATTAAGATCAGAATCACATCCAAGACAAATTCGTATCAGCCACAATTTAGGATAAAGCTTATGAAGAGAATTCATAAAGTTTACTTAATCAGCAAGTTTTAAAAAAAAAAAAATTTGGTGTGTGTATTATTTATACTCTTCTCTAATGAATTCCATTCTTTTTTTTCCATAACACAGAAATTAAATTAAAGCCGTTCCTCCTTCCCCTTTGACTTAGGTTTCATCACTAAACTAAAAAAGCTATAGAAAATCAACATGAAATCCAATTCTAAAACGGAATCAATTACTTAAAAATCCACCCAAAAAAGCTAAATAAATAAACATAAGAAGGGTTTGACTTTATACGTACCGGGAACTAGCGAATTCATAGAGTTTTCCGGTGCTGGAAAAGACTATAACCGCAACCTCAGCATCGCACAGAATCGAAAGTTCTCTGGCTTTCTTCAACAATCCAGCCCTTCTTTTCGAAAACGTCACTTGCCTGCTGTTGATGTTCTCAATCTTCTTTATCTCAATTTTCCCTCTCCCCATATTTTTTTTTCCTGTTTGATACAACTAAAAAGGTTGCCTTTGATTATTTCTTTTATCTCAAAAGTGTACGAGAAAAAATGACAATGCAGTGAGTGTGGTATATATATAGAGAAATTATTGAGCTTTGGGGGGTTGGTTCCTAATAGGATTAGTATATTAGGTAAGTTCCAATTTCGGGGATTATAGGTGGAAAATATGTCTAAATACAGAAGGAAACTAGTAGAAAGGAAATAATTAGTTTACTATATAAAGAATATAACCCAATTGGTTAATTTTGTATTTACCTCTTAGTATTTTTATTTTTATTTTTTTTTTAAAAAAAAAAACCATTTTTGGGGTGATCCTTTATTAATTAAGAAGATGGAACGTTTATCAATATTTTAGTATACTAGGATACGAAACGTTGGAGTTTATTCTTACTTCCGATATCCTTCTCTTTTATTTTATTGTATTTTATTATTTTATATTTTCCGGAGTTAAAAGTGGAAGGGGAAGAGATCATTAGTAATAAGGAAGAAATTCCTAAAACAATAAAATGGAAAGAAACGTGCTTTACTTTTGTACTTTTCTTATTGAGATAAAGATGTTAAAGGTTTTCTGGCTCTTGTTCATAATTTGATTGAACACTGGCAAGGGTTGGTTTAGGCAAATTCGGGAAAACTTACCAAAATGGAAAGATTTATTAACGGAAAGAAATTGCCTTATTGTTTGATTTTTTTACTTGTGATTGTACGTTTGCGTCATTTATAGCAGTGATGGACTTAATTACTATATTTAAAATGAGATAGATGACTTTGTTTAAGCCAATATAAACGTGCCATGAAATAACACTACGCCCATAAGTATGCTGGGCTAGTGCTTCCAAGTTAAAACTGACTCATAAACTGTCACGAACTGAACTAATTCTGGAGTTAAATCAAAATATCGGGACAAGAATTGAAGGCTGAGATACAGAAATCAGAAGAATTAGAAAGAGGTTTAGGGTTAGAATCACAGAATCGAGAGAGAAAGAGAAATTTCTCAAATCTGTATTTTCATCAAAATGACCAAAGGTAAGTTTTACAGACCTTGACCAGACTATATATAGTCTGACTTACTTTCACAGAATTACAATTTTTTTTGGATAAAAATGTAAATTTATTCATGATCATTTAGAGTTTACATTTACAACCAAAATGTCTCTATTACATTTGTGATTTCTTACTATGCTATCAAAATTGGTCAACTATTTACAAAGTATTGATTCAAGATGTTTCTTTCATTTTTCAGAGTGAGGCCATTTCAGACGGTGTTGCACTCTCCAATGTACTTCTTTCTTTACCAGCTCTATAACTTGCTCACTGTTCCTCTTCACTCCTATAAAACTCCTTCTGTTTCTCTCTTCCCAAAGATGGTAGATTAAACCTGTCATAAAAGTAAAAAGTATGTCTTTTCAGTCTTGACTTCCTCCATATACACAAGATCCTCCGTTTCCTGCCAATCATGTATCCATGTATTGAGACACCTATCCACTGATTAACATTTACCAAGATTTCTTGAGAGTAACTACAAGTAAAGAAATGGTCTACAATTTCCTGCTGCTACAGACAAAGAATACAAATAGGGTCTAGTGGTAGCATAATGTATCAATTCAGTCTCTCCTTTGTCGATAACCTTTCTTTCCAGCACAACCAAGTGATGAAGGAATGTTTAGATACACAATATCTCGCCCATACAAACTGAGAGGCAGCAAACTATGTGGATTCTCCCATCAGCCACTTATAGCCTGATTTGATGGCATATTTTCCTGATGCCTGGTGTGACCATTTGTTACCTTCAAACTTATTTCGACTCTTTATTTCAGCTTCATAAGCTGCTTCCAAGGCCAGTTTGCATCTTTTTTTACAGTCTATATTTCAGAAATCTTTCCCTTTTATATATATGCAATGTATCCATCTAACCCATAAATTGTCTGCTTTTGCAAGCCAGGTTCCATACCTGCTTCAGTAAGGCTGCTTCATTCCACTTTTGAGCATCCCTGATATTTAAGCCACCCTCTTTTTTGGATCTACATACCAGGTCCCAGCTCACCAAGGAAATACTTCTACCCCCTTCCTTATGCCCCCAGAGGAACTCTCTACAGATCCTGTTGATCTGTTGTGTGACACTTTTTTGTAGGATGAATGCTTGTGCTCAGTAATTGTTTATGGCCATAAGTACCGCATTAATTAGTTGAACTTTGCGTGCATAGCTAAGGTGTCTTGAGCTCCGGCATCGTATCCACGCAGCTATTTTTTGGATCATAATGTCGCATTCCGTCTAATTCCACTTCCTAAGTGACAGGGGGACACCTAAGTACTTCATGGGAAACTTGCCTTCCTTAAAGCCTGAAATGCTGCAAATCTCCTTCTTTAATTCCTCCGAAACTCCACCATATACACAGCTGAAGTGCTAGGGTTTGCATACAGTCCGGTTGTTTTGGAAAAGTCCTGCAACACTTGGATAATACTTTGCATAGTAAACTTATCAGCTGCACAAAAGATATCAAATCATCTGCGAAGCAGATGTTTGTGAGCTTAAGTTCCTGACACAGAGGATGGAATTTAAACCTAACATCAGAAGCTGCTTCCTTTAACAGGCGAGTCAAATACTCCATTGCCATTACGAATAAAAGGGGTGACCTGGGGTCCCCTTGTCAGAGCCCTCTTTTTCCTTCAAAGTACTCACAACTTTCGCCATTCAACCCTAATGAATATGTAGGGGAGCTAAAGCACTGCATTATCAGGTTCTTCAAAGACAAGGGGAAATTATATCCATCTAACATCTCAACAATAAATTTCCACTCTAGTGAGTCATATGCTTTTCTAACATCTATCTTAAACGTACATCTCCCTGCTATGTTTTTCCTACCATATAATCTGATTAGTTTTTGTGTTAAAAGAACATTATGTAAGATGATTCTACCACTTACAAAAGCGCTTTGGTTCGAATCTACTAAATCAAACACCACACCCTTCAACCGATCACAGGTAATTTTAGAAATTATTTTTTACACCACATTGTAACATGCAATTGGTTTGTACTCACTAGCATTTAAAGGCAAATCATTTTTCGGTATCACGGTCAAAGTTGTGGCATTTAGCGGTTTCAGTAGCTGGCCATTTTTGAAGAATTCTTGTACAGCTTGTACTATGTCATTCCCCCACAATCCTCCAAGCCTCCTTAAAAAAGCCGTTGCCGTATTCGTCAGGTCCCGGACTTTTCCCACTGTGAATACTCCAAACCGCCTTCTTCACATCATGTTCAGTCGTTTCCTTGAGTAGCATCATCTGTTGCTGCCAACATAGTTTTGGTCCCAAACAGAAGATCTCCCCTCATGATGATGTCTTTTCACTTTCCTAGTCCAGTTGCTTCATAAAGAACTCAATAAAATGAGACTGAATTCTGTCCCAATCTGTAACCAACTCCACTTCTTTAGTCACAATCGAACAAATGCGATTTTGCATTGTCCTAATCCTCAGTTTAGCATGGAAGAAGGCACTGTTCATGTCACCCATTTTAATCCAATTCTCTTTTGCTTTCTGCTTCAGGAACCTTTCTGAAGCCCTACTTACTTCTATATAATTTTTGTATGTAATCCTCTCACTCCTTTGAAGCTCAACATCCCCTGGGTTTGCGTATACACATTCCTGATCAATTCTCAGCTGTTCTGCCAACTGCCTCTCCTGTACTTGAATTTCTGAGTAATTTTCTCTATTCAGCTTCCTAAGAACATATTTCAATCTTTAAAGCTTCTGCACCACTTGGAACATTCTCGTGCCATTTACATTCTTCTCCTAGCTTGTCTTCACAATTTCTTTGAAGTTCTCTGCTTGGCGCCACATGTTAACGAATTTAAAAGGCTTTTGCTTTCTCCCCCTTTCTTCCTCTAGTTGCACCATAATAGGACTATGGTCTGATACACCCTTTGGGTGGATTGTGGCGATGGAATTAGGGAATGCTACTACCCAATCTTCATTTACAAGGCATTTGTCAATTTTGGACCATATACGTATTGTTCATGATTACTTATTCGACCAAGTAAATCTACTCCCCTGCTGTTTTAGATCACTAAGGAAACAATCATTTATACATCTTTGAAATCCCTATTTTTTTAATTAGAATTACAATTCAATCCTATATTTTCTATTACATTCAATTGCTCCCCCAGTATGTGACAAAACTACCCCCCTTTAACTAGTCTTTTCCTCAATACCCTTATTTAACAATCACAGAACTAAACATGTAACACGCAGAAACTAAGTTTGAACCAGCAGAAACAATACTGATTACACAATCGATATGAACTATATAGGAAAATGACTACAAAAAACCAATAAATGTAAAGAGTTCCAATGTGATCAACAGCTAGTGTTACTACCCCCAATTGAACTTCTAATGCCACAACTTCAATAAACTGATGTAAAATAAGAGCAAAAAAACATGATCAGCATTCCCAATTTTCATTTCTTTGTGTAACCGTCCAAGGTCAAATCATTCAGATCAACCGATTCACCATCAATGGTCTACAAAACATGACCAGATTCCTCTTCCTTATCAGCATCCAAGCAACATATTACGTTGAACTCTCTTAGTTTGCTATGTTGGTTATCGCCAGGTTTGTAGAGCTCACCACATTGGTAACATAAACCATGGTTGGTCCTATATCGGATTTCTTGGGGAACCAACTTCTTAACATATCGATTTTCAGGACCTTTGTGACTAGTGACTCTACCATTACCAACAACAACACCATTCACATCTGGATTGCTATTCTCCTTATCAACAAATTCTCAACAGCATACTAAGAGCTATTTCCCTGATTATAGCCTAAATTACCCTGACCAGTATCGCTCCAGTTACCCTTATAAAACATGTCTAAATTCTGTTCCTGATGCATGGCAGTTTCAAAGGCAACAGCTAAAGACTAAGGATTCCACATTCTAACAGTAGGTTTTAGCTCATCTTTAAGACCACTAATAAAACTTGAAATGTAGAAATCATCATTAAACTGATAACCTTGACATAGTAACCGA